TCTGCGATCTGTTTGCTTTAATATACCGATTAGCGAGCATCGAAACACAATGTCGTCGCAAATATTATCAAGGAAGAGAATTTAATATAGGATTATGGAAGATGGATTAATTGCCAACGCGCCTAAAGCGAATAATACGTGTTTTGTGAAAATAATCCTCGAAATATAAAATTAATCCTGCTATTTTGTATAATAAGGGGGACATTTTGTACTTGAAATTTATAACAGCTTATACGTATATGAACGTGCAAATATACAATACATAAATAAATAATACATACGTATATGTATATATTTATAGATGTATATAGGCTTATAGATGGAAAGATTAAATATTTTGCTGTATAAATCTGATTTGTTATTCCACAGACATTGTGTATACCCGCTCGAAAATAATGAATAATTAAACCTGTACTACGCGTTTATTGATATAATGTCGCCAACGAAAATATCGAACGGCGTGTTTAAGATAAAAAAGCCAGTTCGATAATGCAGAGGTTAATTAAAGCATCAAGTAAACACCGATGTAAATAATGTAAATTTAATTACGTCGCAAAAAAAAAGGATTGTTTTACCGTTTATTTCGGTAAACAGCGACGATAGCGGTAAGAAAGTCGCCCTGATGCATGATGGCTTGGATCGATGAAGCCGATAAATTCGCGCCAGCGGAGCGAGCACTCAGCTCGTTACCCAAGACACAAATGCGCCGCTACTTATCGCCTTATCCCGTAAGTAAATTTCCAACGGCGGCACTCACACTTCCCCCCCTCCCCCCGCCTCCCGGTGCGAAGTAGCTCGCAACCTCGCACTCTTGTCGCGTGTCGTTAGCCTCGTCCATTATTCGGTTACTCCGCACTTTCGGGACAAGCGAAATTCGCCGGAGTTACGTGGATACCTCAGAGATATCCGCATCGTCGATTCACTCCGACCGACGGGGAATGGCAAGCGCGAGCGCCTTTGACGTTGTAAAAGCCATGTATGAAGAAACCCGACGAAAATGAATTTTTCAAGAATAGCGCGTTTAACATTCAGTAACGTTCTAGTCAGAATCGTTTAAAATTAATCACGATGACTCACAGCTCTCGTTTTACCTTAGTTCTGTATTTATTTTGTAATTTTAGTTTAATAGTTTAGTTAAAGCTTAATTTCTCCATTTTTCCATCTATTTTTTATGAGAAAAATGATATAATGCTGCCCCTTTCTTTGAAGCTTCTACTTCAATTTTAAATATAATAACTTCTTGAATCAGTTTTAATGATAAATAGATGCTTTGTAGATACCTATTATATTAAAAATGCCAAAATGTAAAAACTCAAAAATGTCTCCATAAAAAGTGTTTCTTTGAAGTGTATTACTTATGCATAATTTTTGTTCCTGAATCTTACCTTTTCTACATCTGTATCTAAAATTCGCAAGAAAGCTGCTAAAGAAAGATATACGAATAATTTGTTATATATCTTGATTCACTATATAACTCTACCTTTCTCATCTAGCAATTTTCTCTTAAATGGAAATTCAATGTGAACTGTAATGCGAAGTACTTTCGAGAAATTCGATTCCCATTCTCATTGAATTTCTTCGTTTCGTCAAACGACGCTTCGTGTCGGCGTTACGTCGGTCGGCGCTCGTTCGCGAGGTGAGCGCGAGATAAGCAGGAAAACAATTCTCGTTCCCTTCGCACACGCCGGATGCTCCGACGAACTTTTCCAGCTACACCCTCCCCGTTTCTCTGGCGGGCCGCCGTCGTTGCCGCCGCCACCGCCACCGCCGCCGCCGCCGCCGCCGCCGCCGCCGCCGCTGCCGATGCGATTGCCGATTCTCAATTTCCGGTTCCAAGTAGCGGCCGTCGACGCGAAGGCGAAGCGGGCGCGATCGCCTTTCAAGTGTCTGAGAAGCACTTAAAGCTGCGACTTGAAGCCGGTAGGAAGCGATAAGAAATAGTGATAGGCAACGTCCCAGGGCTCTCGGGTATCGATACTCGAGGCGTCTTTACTCGAGGCTCGAGGACAGCTTCTTTCCGATGTACAAAAGTGTGGACAGTTAAGAGTGTCAGCTGTACAACGCAATCGTATCTTGCCTGATGCTCAGTCGTTTTCTTGTTAATTATAACGCTGACAATACCGGTGAATAACTAACCCTCAAATATTTCATTCTCTTTCCCTCTCTCGCTCGCTCGCTCTTGTTCTCAAGCTTAATAATTCTACGGAATGGATCCGGAGTAAAGATGAATTAAATCCATAACTTACAAAGCGCATTTTACAAAGACATTTTAAAGCGAGTGATTTTAAAGAGGATTATGGATTTAATATATTACTGTTCTCTCTAATCTTTCAAATATAGGATATGCTATTATATTGTTGACGAACAGAGGAAATCGATTGATTTTTATTTTTGGGAAATTGCGGCAGTTTTTCGTTGTCGCAATAATACCGCGGAAAGTCGCAATCTGTGCTGTAAACTCGTGGGTCGATAAAGCTTATCGCGTAAAGATAGAAAAACACCGTAAACTGATATTGTGTAGTCAATCCGGTTGTGTTTCGCCACCGAGTGTATCTACTTCTATGCAACCGCGTAAAAGAAAACGACAAAAACGACTCTTGCGAAATACTTCGCGAATTTTTTCTCTGAAGGCCGACATTTCGTCTCGACTTAACGCCGCCTGCTTCCGTCGTTTAGCATTTTTTTTCGCTTCTCTCTCTCTTTCTCGGTTTTTTTTTTCCTACTTTGCTTGCATCTCCAGATTAAATATTCACGAGAGGAGAAATGGAGATTCTTCCGACGTAGAGACGAACTTATTCCGTAAATTTCGCTTGGTGAGCCATGTAGGTGTTACCGAACAAGTTATAATCTGAAGAAAATTCTGTTTAAATAAGAAGCGTATTGGCTGAAAGTTAGGAAAAGATAAAAAAACTTATCGTTATCTTGTCCATCTTATCACCGATTTGGCCAGCCAAAATTCAAAATTGCTCGAATCTCGTCGCGATTTTTAAACGTGTCAAAAAGAGTATTAATATAATTTTTCTGTGATAAAGACTCTTCGCGTTAATTATATATGTCGCGTTTAATTATACATCTCGGCGACGATAATCCCCGCCGAGGGCAAGGCGTCAGATGAGGCGCTTAGGAGATAAATCCACCTCCTACGGGAATAATGTATGCATTTCTTATGGGAGACTAGCTTATCAGGCTAGTTAAGGGCTAAATTAACTCTAATACGCGCTGACTACGAAGGTCTATTCGACGAAGCGCAGTTTCGCCGCGTCTCGCGGGAGTGAAATTCGCGTGACGAGAATCGATCGACGCGATCGCGTTTCCACCCATGCACGTCGGGACGCTCGCGGCGCGGGACGTACGTGCGAAACGATTTCTGCCCACTCTCCTGCTCGAAAATTCCCGCAATTAAACACTCGCGATTAAACAGTTTCGTGATTTTAACATTTATTACCGCGGCTCTCGTTAATCCTCTGTTCCCCCTCACTTCGTTCGACCCACATGTAGACACCGTTCATTATTTTGCCATTATGATTCATGATGTCGCCTATATAACAGCCGTATTTCCACCGCGATTATGCAAAGTTGGATATTAATTTCTTTCTTTTTTTTTTATGTTGAAAAATATCCCCTCCCGAGTATGTCCGTATAGTCGTCGCAATATCGATAATTGCGATACGAAGTTCATCGTTATTTCGAAGTCGTTGCACGACTTCGTAAATTCCTGCGCAGTGTTCCTCGCAGTGAACGACTTCATTAAGGATTTAATGTTCTAGTTTATAAGAATTCGCGCCAGATTTTTCTAACAAAGAAATTCGTATTTTACGCAGACAAGTATTCGCGTTCGCTCCCCGGAAGGTCGTAAAGATCGCTCCACAAGGTAAAGCTATAATCGGTGAGTAATTTCGTACTCGCGCTTCGTCCGTGTACTCGCAGCACGTCTGACGTAATAAAACGACGTAATAAATGCCGATCGATTTTGCGGATGCGAGTTCAGAGAAACGAACGAGAAATAATTAAGGAATACCGCGTCCAAATTCTGGAAAGAAGCGTATCGGACAATCAACGTTTTCATGCTATTTTCGTACTATTTTGGCGGTCGCGTCAGAAAACTTCAATAGTAGAGTATCGTCAATGCGAAATTCTTGATCTGCAAAAGGAGTTTAACTATAGAAGGGAGGTGCAAGCAAATATGTGTGTGTGTGTGTGAGAGAGAGAGAAAGAGAAAGAGAGAAAGAGAAAGAGAGGGAAGGAGGAACAGAGTTGGAGGGTTTAATATGTACGACGTCCTCGGGGCGTTATAATCGTCGAGTATCGATCATCCCGCGCTACATGACGTACTCCGCTTCGAGGGACTTCCCGTTTGACCAATCAGGGCCTACTGAAGGATCATAGCTGCGTACTTGTCGTTCCTGATCGTCCCTGCAACTCCGCCTCGCATGCGACCACTCGTAGCGGTGCAGAAATCAGAGTATTCCACATCGGAATACACGTAGGAATTTTCGAAATTTGGTCTGACGATCAGTCGCTGCGCGAAATCGCTCGTGGAACGAGCGCACTGCCGATGCATTTCGCGCATTTATGGTGTAACACGCAATCGTACTACCCGTCGCTCGTTACAGGTGCGGACGTGAGCACGTCATATTTCGTTCGAAAAAAAAATTTCGAATTGTACTTTTTCCTTCCTTCCCCTTCCCTCTTCTTTTTTTTGCGCGCGCGCGGCTACGGGGGAGTCGCGCAAAACAATATTGACGGATGAAACGTTCGTCCTGATTCTCACTCGATAACTGGCGCAGATTTATTGGCCGTGTGCGCGAGCGACGCGTGTATCATTTCGCCGCGGATAAAATATTCGTCGCTCCGCTGGCGCGTCGCGCGCGAGAAAAAGAGCCGCAAATTGCAATCGACGACATTTATCATTATGAATCGTCGCTTTTCGCCGTATATTACTGGCGCGCGCAACAACGGGATTTCATGTCATATCTAACGATTCCTCTCGTTTGTTTCAGAAATACGTCAGCGAAGGATCGATCGTGCGGGACTGCGTGCCCCAGTGCGTCGAGAAAGGTGAGTGCGACGAGTTCCCGCGCGTGCCCGCTATACCGCGCACCGCGCGCGGGACATATTCTGCGCCGTAGTCGTAAAATAAAGTTAAACGTTACAATCTATTTTCGCGAAGCCGTTTCGCATGTTTTTCGCGCCGGTATCAGCGACACTAAATCCACGCGTCCGCTCGTAAATTCCGGTGGCACCGCTCGGTCGACCCCCGATGGCCGACCGGTCGGTATTTCGTAGCCTGCATCCCGCGGCCCCATCGACGAAATTTACAGTGGATAAAGCGGGTCTTAAAAAAAATTTGTGAAACCGCGTGTTATCGGTTGCCTCGGGCCGACGTTTGTTATCCGAAAGACGGCGTCGGATGGTGACATCCGGGACGTGGCGCCGGATAGGAGCTACATAGAACATCTCTCGCACACACACACACACACACACACACACACACACACATACACTCTTCCTCTCTTTCGGGCGAGAATCAACCGAGCTGCGTCATCGATTTCGGATTTCGTCGTGGCGTGTGGCCCGCGGCCCGCATCGTGTCGCGCGTTCTTTTTCAATCCGCTCTATCCCGCTGCTCGAGAGAGGATAAATGAGAGAATCCGCCAAGAGGATGGAGGACGAATCGTGCACGCGCTCTTAAAGGTCCCATGAACGAACGGCGAGTGGCCGTGTTATCGGGCACCACGTCGTTTTATTGTTCCGCTGCGCGAATGAAGCCTCATACTTTTCCTTTCCTCGCTCGTCGTATTTTCTCTGCCACTCCGTCCTTCGACAGCGTCTCTCTCTCTCTCTCTCTCTCTCTCTCTCCTCCTCTCTCTCTCTCTCTCTCTCTCTATCTCTCTTTCTATATCTCCTCCTCTCTCCTCTTTTTTTGTCATATCGCGAAACGGAAGCACCGCGATTAATCTTTGTCCGACGGCATGCTTCGCTGTTTTTCTTTCCCCTCCTTTTTACTTGTCGATATTAAACCCAGCTGAGAAAATTCGAAGTCCATTCTCTTAAGGATTATTATTGTCCCTTGGAACTTATCGTTATGTTATGTAATATGTTATGAAAATATATTATAAAACGTTATCTCTAGAATTTTATCCTCGAGTTAAGACGTCTTTCTCTCGGTGATTGTAGTCACGTGCGACACGAAATAAATATTCAAATGAGATATTCCAACAAGATTTGAATGTCAGAGACATTGTCTTTGGTAGTCAAATCAGATTGCCTGAATGACGAATCGGCTGTTTCAGAGGCCTGGAGCACGAGGACGTACTGTTGCCAGCAGGATGGCTGCAATTCCGGCCCGTCGTTGACAGCGTCGAGCAGCACGTATTTCGTCCTAGCGATCTCGCTGGCGGTCCTCGTGGTGTGCCGAAGCCTCCGTGGCTAATAACGTGTCGTCCTGCAGGAGGAAGGACTCGCGCGCCGCGGGCGTCTCACACGGCATCCTTCACAAAACTTGGATCACAAAAAAAAACTTGCACGGGGAGGGAAGTGGGAAGGGAAACGTTGCACCTTGCATCTCAGACGTCTGCGCCGAACGATTGGGGCTGTCTATCGCCGGCGGATATCACGGAGAGACGTCGATAGTCGTCCTTTGGTCCTTCAATCCTTCCGTCGGAAAGCCGAATAAAAAGTTCACCGCTTTATCATTTATAATGGAACATATCCTCCTCCTCGCGACGATTGACGCGCGCTTTCTGCTTTCTGATATCGGTTACTCCGAAAGCGTTTAATCGAAATAAAGTTGAAACTCGCGCGTAATCAGCGAACGCTGCAATGCATAGTATCCTTTAAAAAAAAAAAGTTTCTAACTTTAACCAGCTGCACAACAGTAATCATTCGCTGTGGAAATTGACATGAGCGTTATTTGTTACTTCTGTTAACCGACGATTTATATTTAGTAAAAAACGCTGAGGCAACGTTTCTTTAAAAAAGTTATCTCATAAGGTATACATCTATTATTCATGTAATACAAATAATCATTCCTTGAGATGCTCGTTATACATTTTTACGCTTTCGTTTTTCAATTTTCCTTTCCTTGTCATTCAAAATTATAATATCGAAAGGTAAATCCAACGTGTCGAGGGTATAATTATTTTGTTTTTAAAGAATACAATTTGTCGAGTAAATCCTACGGACGGTTGTTTGGAAAAATGTAAAAAAATTTAGTAACGCACACATAACGAATGTTGTGTCACGATTATTCCCAAGCATTTATTCTCCGATTAAATGTCACGTCTAAGCGACTCGTACCGTTAGCCTGCCATTTCGCGCGAACGGTGTCCACGTCGTACAATCAACGGCCGACTCAATTCAGCGAACGCTGAATGCACTTGCTAAACTCGGACCGAGTTAAGTGACGCGGAGAAATCGGCTCGTTAAATCCGATGCATTATCGCGCCAACTTCGCTCGCTCTATTAAACTCACACGCTTCCGCATACTTTTACGGATCGACTGCCCTCGACACGGTAAAGTTCTCTCCGATCGGATTTGATTGAAGGTTCGTCTGGTGAGTCTCGCTCCAAATCTCTCACGGCAGGTGAGGCGACATTTCGCACAAAATCAATCATTATCAATCGACGAACTCGCGGTTATTCGAATTTCTTTATTATTCAGATAGTCAACAAGAAAAGAAGACAAGAATTTTTCCAAAAAATATTTCTGGTCCGATGCCCGGAAGCTCCGGAAATACGTACTCCGCACGCGATTTCTCGGACAATGAAATAATCGGCATAGCAGTGATATTTAACACTCGGGCAACACGCGATACGAGGACGACAAAGAGTCCGAAAATAGTCGCCATCACCATCATCATCGTACCGCGCTTATCCGCTTTCACGGTAGCTTTCGTGCGAGCCAACTTTGCAGACGTACTTCCCTCGGCGCGATGCGTGATCAGCTTTTTTTCCCGTTGCTTTACCAGACTGTATTTTTTGTACAACTGAGCTAGTAGCTTTTCCGTAGCTACCACATATATTAATCGGTCTATCATCTATAGAACTTTGCTTGGAAAAAACGAACTCTTAGACAAGAGAATGATGATGTCACGTTGGATTTATCTTTAAGAGTCTTATGATTTTAATTTAAAAAGTATACCAAGAAAAAGGCAACATTTTAAAAATATTTTCTTTGTGAAAAAAGTCTATCCTCTGATGAAAAAAAATTCAAACAAAAGAAAGAGCAGATACGACGCATTCTAACATCGTTCTCCGTATCGTGATTTTTTTTCTCCTCCGAACTCTCTCCGGTCAGCTCCCTGTCGTGGGACGGCACTCTGTCGACCTCCAACGGCGGATTGAATTTATTCAAAAAGTTTCGGCGTCCCATTTTTCGTCAGGCGTTTTATCGACGCTTCTTCCGTCACATCTTCCGTCCGTCCCGCCGTTGCGCCGGTCTCGTACATGCGAATTTAATAACATCAGGACGACCGACGGATTGGCGGGCCGAAAAAACGACGGCCGAAGAGTGCAGGAGCCAATATATCAATATTTCGTACGAACGTCGCGCGATGTGTGTTCGAGTTTCATGAATATTTCGGCGTGTCATGCGCTTTTCATTATACCCGAACACTTTTCTAAGCCGCACCGCGCGAGAATACTCCCCGTCTCGCAGTTGTTATTAATCCTTTAAAGCGTAACTCTGAGATTCTACGTGAAATATACGTCGATGAAAATATAGTCGATTTAAAAAATTTTTTGAAAAATTTAACATATCTAAAACGCTTCCAAATAGACAAAAAATAATTTTGTTAAAGAAAAGTAATTCTATTTAAAAAAAAAAAGATTAATTATATTTATATTGAAATATCTCTAAAAAACGAAGTTTTATAACTTGCCTGATTTATAGTACATTTAAAAAAAAAAAGCCTTGAATATTTAAAGAATGAAGCTAAAAATGGCGTAGCGAAAGGAGCCGGGGTACGCTTTAATGAGTTATTGATGCCCAAACGTGTCAGAATGCCAATATCGTTCGGGAACATTGCTTTTTCGTGGGCATCTTTTTAAAACAGTTAAACCCTCATGATCTTTTTTAACGCTGTGGCAGTGATTATCGATTGTACTGCGATCGTATCAATATGATGCCCCGTTTCTCTTATTGTGAAGAAAAATTCGATACAACGATAAAAAGAGTTTGACCTATCGCGATTTCGTTTTTTGCCCTTTATTCCAGCAAAGCCGATCATCGTTTGAATGATGAACTTTATTACATCAGAAAGAGAGAGAGAGAGAGAGAGAGAGAGAGAGAGAGCACACGCAATAAGAAATTCAAGCTCGTCTGCATCGTCTGTGCGAAGAGAGAGAGAGAGAGAGAGAGAGAGAGAGAGAGAGAGAGAGAGAGCGAGAGAGTTATTTTGTCGTTTCATGCACATAAAAGATATTTCCGGAACGGAAGTTACAAGGAAGAGAGACTCTAGTCTCTCGGGACACAAAAAATAAATTAATAGTACCGATAAATTAGAAATTGGATGTGTGTTGCCTACAGAGAAAACGCATTAAGCTCTTTCAATAAAACGAGCATCTATATCAGAAGTTAATTCCGTTTCCTTGTATGTACATTCTTGGACTGGTTTGTGATATTTCAAAAGAGTTAGATGGTCCTTTTGCATATACCTATAGCGGACATCAAACGCATCTTTCCACAAGAGCAGTTCACAAGTCAGTTTCGTCCATTGTCCTTACGACCGGATCGATTACGGGGGATCGTTGCATACGCAATTGAGATATCCCAATCAAAGTTTCAATCCGATCGAGTCAATTTACAACAAAGAGGACACAGTTATGTCCTGACATATCCTGCTTCTTTGGGGACGACTTGAGACGGATGTTTTTTAGCCGCTTATATCGATTCGCGACGAAAGAGAGCACCGGCGGTTCGGCAGCTCGAGCGGAAAGGAAACGAGATGTTCTCCGCGCGAAAAGAATCGGTATCGATACATTGGACCATAATCGTTGTCAACGACATCGACGTTACTAAAGATCGAGCACTTAAGGGAGCTGATGCAGCAACGGAGCCAGCGACAGCGAAACAAAAATGGTTGCTTCTGTCGCTCGGCAAGCACTTCCTAGCCGTAAGATACACACAAAGAGAGATTGAGAGAGAGAGAGAGAGAGAGAGAGAGAGAGAGAGAGAGAAAGAGAGAGCGAGAAAAGAAGGAAGAGGATCGGACAAACGGATAACGTGGATAACCTACATACAGATAATGTTTAAACAGAGGAACAGTGAGGATAACAATAATGATGTTATTATTACTACTATTACTACTATTATTATTACTACTATTGCTACTAATTACCATTACTATTATGAACTACTGTGCATCACACCGAGTATATATATAGTAGTTACGATCGATTAGGCGAATGCGAGCAAGCGGAGTTGTCGATTATTATGTAACCGCTTCAAGTAGCCTTATAAATTGTAATTAAAGCGCGGATAATCTACATCTATCACCGGGTGGCGCGAAGGGACGCGGCATTATCCCAATTTTCATATTGGCGGAAATTCGTTATTCAATTAACATTTAATTAATCCAATGTCAGAGAATCACACGCTTGTAACTTGCGACCGAGCATTGAATTCCCGTTTTTTCTCGATTCGAACATCCTTCCATCGAAATTAACGATATTCAAAAAACACGTCACTTACGAGGATCGGTTCTTCCCGTTTCGAAAACGGAGAAGGAAAAAACCTCGTTCTGTTCCTCTTGTGCCACTCGGTACATACGTCAACGTAATGAATCACGAGCAGGTAGGCAAGAAACTAAAAAGAAAAATTCCTAAAAAAATAGCGAGATTCATCTTAGCGGATAAGCAGCGAGGGCGATCACGAGTAGCGAGATAATCTGTTGTCTGTTTGCAGGAGGAAGGGTTTAGCGATCGCACCCCCGGCAACACGAACATCCGAGAGACGTCGTACTTTAAAGATTAAGAGACAGGCGGAGAGACGACCGCGGAATATCCGAAATACAAATTCGCGTTAACGAGGCGAGTAGCGGGTAACGCTGAATATATATAGTCATTGTTCGTCGCGCAAACGAATATTAAATATTTTTATTCGCGTATATATAACGAATAATGAATAATCCGATTCGCTATTCGAATAACAGGACTGCGGTTCTCTCGGTCTCTCGCAAGACGTCTTCCGAACGTTCGCGTTGCGAACGGGGGACGGACTATCTGTTCTTGCAATTTAGGGGGCAGACAATTTATCTAAAGTTAGATTCACAAGAGTCTCTAGGATAACCGTTAAAGCTAATCTATTTCCCGTCTCGAACGTCGCGACGTCGGCCGATCTAAGCGTCGATTGTTATTGTTGGAAGTGGTGCATCGAGGTAGCCGTCGGCGGCTGCGGTTCGAGATTAATCGTTGACGGAGCGCGCCCCGGCCCCGGCATCGACTTAATTAGGCGTAGGGATCGATAATCGCCCTTCTCGGTGGCGATTAATCCTCCGATCGCGAAATCGCGCGAACCACGCGCGATTAGGCGCCTCGGCGGGGAGGATTACGTCAGGTAAACGCGTCGCTGGGATTACTACCGGAGGACTTTAAGTCGTCCAAATTCCACTCATTAGCCGCGCTGATCGAGAATCTATTTAACGCCGATACGTCTTGCTTAAGCCTCGTCTATATATTTTTATAAACTAAGAATAGCACCGAGATCGATCACCATCACCCGCGCGGACCCTCCTCTCAACTTATTCTTCCCGCAATATTTTTCGAGCTACGAATTAAATTTTTCACATCACGGGCTTCATTTCGAAAACTACTTTGCAAGCGAGCGATACATTATTCTATTGTAGCTGCAGCCAAGTTTAATCAGTATACAGAAACGTGATTCTTTAATTACTGTTTATAAATTAAACCGGAGTCCCGGAGGCGAGAGCCTGTTTTACGCGAAAGATATTTCGACAAGTGCCAGTAATTACGGGTTATCCGAAATTGAGCTGGCAATTGGCAGAGCATCTTCCTTTTTTAAAATGAGCTCTCGTATTTTCGAACATCTTTCATCTCGTCTCGTTCCGAAACTCTGTAGAGGTAGAGAAACATGTCACTGAAAAAAAAGAAGAGTTGCACAGACGCGCGCTGATAGGATACGCAGAATCTCTCAGCTGTGTGAAGTCGACCCCTCTACTACTAAAAATCCACTAACGATTATTACCACTCGATTGGTGGTCGTTTATTAGTATTTGGTAGTCCATTTTTTATGATTGATAGTCAGAGTTGTAAATAATATGAAAAAAAGACTTACGCGTTAGTCCCTCCTTTCGCAAAATATGGCTCTCCAGATTGTGTAAATAATCAAAACTGTAAGCATTCTTTTGGATTGTTTACTAACGTTTGGTAGTCAATTCCCGAAGATAGATAGAATTTAATAATAATAACACAAAAAAGATACGTATGTTAAGTCCCTCTTTTTGATAATAAAAAGCATTATATTTTATATTTTAATGCTACATAAATTTCCATTTTCAATTTTTAAGCGTAATTAAACTGAAGAGTTTACTGATACGTACCAAACGAATGCTTAGAGTTATGATTACTTATGCAGTCTGGAAAGTCATATTTTGCGAAAGTAGAGACTAACTTTATGCGCGTATGTATTTTTTCATATTATTATTTACACTTCGACTACCAATCATCGGAAATGGACTACCAAACGTCAATAAGCAACCACCAAATGAATGCTTACAGTTATAATTACTTACGCAGTCTGGAAAGTCATACGAAAGGAGGGGCTAACTTTACGCGCGTATGTCTTTTTTTCTTATTATTTATAACTTTGACTACCAATTATCGGGAATGGACTACCAAATACTACCAAACGATCACCAATCGAGTGGTAATGATCGTTAGTAAATTTTCAATAGTAGGGGAGGGGGGCAACTTCACACAGCTGAATCTCTCGGACGTTCACACCGTAACAATTCATAGGTGATTTCTTAGCACTTAAGGTTTTACTATATCGCGAAGGGAATGCTCGATAATAACTCTTCAATCGTTGCGAGTTCTATCAGCTTCTGCCGGTAAAAAGATCGTGAGAAAATATCGCTATCAGATCACTCGGCCTTCAACCCTTGACCTTTTCACGACAGATAAACACATTCTGCAGTAAATTGCGTTCACATTGCCAAACATTTCCTCTAGTTTAAATCGATATCGACTCGATAAAAAAAAAAGTATTGCTGCAATCGTTACTTATATAATTTAGTATACGGAACGGTACATACGTCAATTTGATTGCACGACGGTATTAGAAGGAGAATACCATAAAATGGAACACGCATCTTATATAAAGTTATACACACGTACATTATATAAAGTTACAATTAATGATAATTGTTAAGCCGAGTGATTTGCGCGATAATTATTAGAGTTATATATAAACATATATATATATACATATGTATATTCATACATATATATGTGTATATATATACATACATATGTTATATATTATATGATATATTATATAAAACTACGTCACACATATTGCATTACATTATATATATATATATATTATATTATTTAGTTACGTAAGCAGAATCATATGTATGACGAGTTGTACATTTATATTAGACACACACAGCAATAATAAAAACTATACTCCGAGTATGCGCGTGTCCCGATGCTCTTTTATTAGCCTCGAATAATGACACGACACTACTGTTGGAGGCGACAGCAAATATGCGAGCAGTGCATAAATTTATATATTGCGATAGTCGGGGATAATCAATTTGACGCTCGTTCGAATATCTGTGTACCTTCCCACCCCCGATCGATCCCCGTCACGCGTCGCGATCAAGAGGCGATGCCTTAATGCAATTTCCATTTGACTTCCCTTTCTCGACACCAACACCCGCGTTACCACGGGTTAACACGGATTGCCGTATCGCCGCGGCATATTTCCCCATTCCGTCGGGAACGACGATTATTTACGATCGACGTCGTGTTACATTTTTCAAGCGCGGCAAAGTGCTCGACGAAAGCACGACGTCGCGCGGACATGATTGATCGTCCACTTGTGAAACCGGCCGACACGATTTATTTAGAGGTGAACGGGGGAAGGCTCTGAACAATTACAGGTTTCCTAGCGCGCGTCAGAGTTACGCACGTCGGGAGTCAGGTAGCGAGAAAAGTTACGCTTTCCGCGCGCAGCGAAAGACGAAACGTGATTCTCAAACTCACACTCTTGCGTGTATGATCTGTAAATTTTCGCTTCCTCTTTTCTTTCACAAATTTCCAGCCGATCTCTGGAGCAGTCAGTCATGAACAGAAAATTAGCTGCACTCAATGGGCATCATGAATATGTAAAAGAATCAAGGTAGGGATTTTTTTTAAATTCTTAAATTTATTATTACTAGAACTCGTCTGGCTTTTCCTAGCTGAACTGTGATTATAAAATGTTTTTTTTTTCAGCGGAGACCAGCAGAACAACGGTAACTTTTACTCACTCAAGAGCAATGTTACGTTATTTATTTTAGAATTTGTACGCTCTGTTGTCATGAGCGATTTCACAGAGCGTACCGATTCTTTAATAAGTGTCGTTAACAATTGACAACGAAATACATCGTTTGACTCGGTAAGTCCTTAATCGCGAAATCTGACTGCTAAAATCTTAATTATTCCAATTAAAGGTAAACGTCTTCAAATGCAATTTCTAATTCAGCTGTTGGATGCAAAATTTATTATTAATAACTCGAGAGGATCAACTTCCATCTTCTTCATTACAATCCTATTTGCGTGATAAATACATCTAATTTCCGTGTTCTCCTTTGAACCGGATTTGTCATCGCCACCCTCATTAAGTGGTATCTATGCTAACTCGCCGCGTATCTCTCCATTACGCAGTAGCAACTTAACCGAGATTAATCGACGTCCTAGTCAAATACACTTAACTCTGACGCTAAGAATTACTACGGGGATAAACCATTCGCCGTATTACTATACCGATCTCGACCTCCCCCCTTCGGCTTCCCGCAACGAATTAATCATTTCCTCGAAGGGTGCTCGCGAAAGCTTTTTGACCTGGACTGGTTACCGTGGATAAGAAAATAAAGATCGTAAATATTGCAGCAATTACGTGGCGCGGATATTTATCACCGTTTCCTCTTCGGACAGTTAATTAATTAATTATAATTCAGACAACGAAAAAACATCTTTATGACATCTTTCAGACTTCTTTTAGTCATACGTGTTGTCCTAGGATTTATGGTTTCATAAATATGCTAATCCTAGCATTATCTTTCTCACTACAACATTATCGTCACTAAGCAATGAGCTCCACCGCGCGCCGTGGAGCTCATTAAAAATTACTTCTGTTATACTAAAAGAGTACGATGAGCTGAATCTCCGATTCAGCGAATCGCGCTGTACACTCATTAAAAAGTGCTTCCGTCGTAGATCAAATGCAAATTTGTTAATTAAAAAACTTTGCTGAGAGATAAAAAAAATGTCATTTTCGATTACTTGTCATTCTCTTTCTCTCCCATCCCACTTTTTAATTTTTTATCACTGCCGCTCGTAAAAACGTACTTAAAGTAAGCACTTCCCTTCAGTCCACGTGCATACTAACAAGTGCGTTCTAAAGATTACATTTAAATTGGAAATGTTTACGGACGATAGTTTAAACGTGTACGCCGCAAATCGGCGATCCTTTTCATATCAATTTCGTAATGCACTGTTAACGAGTCAAGTACGATGGAACATCAAAGATTTTTCAACGCTAAAACCTAAAGTCAACAAAATTGAAAATCTGCATACA